TTTTTTTTTTTTTTTTTTTCTCCCACTTTTCGGTCGTTCCTTCGCCTGCATGGCTAGATTGCTTACCCCGAACCAACCTCCATCCATGTCACCAGGGACGAGTGGTTGCTATTGAATTGACAGACAAATAAGGTTGGCAGATTCATTGCAAGTCCAGGTACCCGTAGGTCGATCGATTCCAGTGATCGACAGTGTCATATGCGTTTTAGCCGAAGCCCTGACTTCATATGAAGCTCAATGTCGTTTGATCGACCAGGACACATCAAGCCACCAAGAAAAATCGAGCCACTTGCCCAAATCGAATCGAATTTCAGAACAAAAGCCTCAGCTTCCCCATGGAATTTAGCCTAGAATAGTCAGTCTCAGTAAATTCTCGTATCCAACCGGAGGCCTCGGCATGGTTCCAAGACCCAAGTGCAACATCTACCACACCCATTCAGCCATTGGTCGAAGCCGCGTCACGAGCTTCACTCCCTTCTTCCCGTTGGGGCCGTAGTCCGCGTCATGCCCTTTTGGCCCTTGGAGTTCAATTGCTTCCTTGTGTTTGGGTGCAAACACAATTCTTACATTGTCCCCAATTGCAGCCAAAAACTTTGAATCATATACATCGAAGCTGAACGGCATCCCAGCCAAGAGACGTATATCACCATCACATTTACAAACTCGCAATAATACGCGCATCAAAGCAACACTGTCCTTTTGTTCATTTTCCATCCCTTGAGAGCGACAAAGAAAGCACGACATTGCGCCCGACTAGCGAATCTATCTGCCTATTGCCATCACACGATTAAACCCATCTCGGCCAGGCAAGCCTCAGCAGTACTGTGAACAACCCTCTCAAACTCAGACTACTCCATCTTCCAAACTACAATGTGTACCAAAACGTTAATCGAGCACCGCTGCGGTCATCGCGTCTTGCGTGGCAACACAAGATGCTACCGAGAAGACTGTCCTGGGAGAAAAGAAGATATCACCAAAGTCGACGACGACTGCGCGCAGTGTGAGAACAAGCCCAGCCGATTCCGATCCTCGCGGTGGTGCTCGGTCGGATGCTGCGTTTGCCAGTGAGAGAAAACAAGGGAAGTGAAGGGAGGGAGGGCAGGGGAGCCTATAATGGAATGATTCGGTTCGGAGTAATACGGGTATCAACTTGGGAACATGGAGTATGGAGGTTTTTTTTTATTCTGCGACGAAGAGATACTTGGAGTTCATGGGGCTTCTCGATTTACTTGTTATGAAATGAATGATTTCAATTGAGTCGCATCGTCATGATACTCGAGCCAAGCATCTCTTTTTCTTCTTTGTACATGGTTAGGCATGGGTGTAATTGCTTTTTCTCTTCCCCCTCTGGTTGTAAGTGGATGACAATCTGCACAAGATCTGAGACATGCGACATCTAACATGTACACTACAGGGCAGTATGTACTTCGTTTCAAAGAATCCGATTCCTCAATGACTAGGTACATGGAAGTAAACAATAACTCCCACAACAGTTGAACGTGAGATGCGACTGGATTGGATTGGGCAAAGGTCAATTAAGAGTTGCCCTGGGCTTACAGAGTACTGTAATTGGATTGGATCTTCCATACCTACCTACCTACCTAGATACACTACCAACCCCCGTCTAGATGTCGGAAGATTGGAGGCCGAGAGCATAAGAGACGAAATAGTTCGGTCACCTTAGACTAGCTTTTAGGTTACTTTATTCTGGCAGTCTAAGCCTCAGAAGACAATTCTTCTGTACCCACCCGCCCCCAACCCCGCTGTTGGTTTGTTAGAAGGCCGGGTATCCGTATTTGGGTGTGTGATGTGATTGATTGACAGGGGTCCAGGGGTTTCAATCCTCTGCACCTAGCTTCCAAGTTCAGAACTCACGAGGCTTCTCCTCTCTCTGGCTAGCCCAGGCCACGGCTTTCAATCCTTCTTCTGCTTGAGGTCCAACAGAACTAGACCAGGTAGAGAGTAGAGGTTTGGGAATGGGAATGGCAACCCCTGGAGATAATCCGTGAGTACATACTACCTAGATAGTCAAGCTGCAGTCCATCCACCAGTTCAGTTCCATCGCTCACTGCACTCCAGTAGGTAGGTACCTAGGCTAGGCTAGGCCCCTCCACTTTCCATGGGTGGAAGCTTCCCCATCCCGCATTCCGCAAATCATCCATCCATTCACCACTTATCCGAACCCCGATGCTGCACTACACTGGGACTTATGACCTACCATCTTCATACCACTACGCACCACATCACTTAATTGAAAGCGCTGAACCGTGGCAGCTCTCTTCTCTCCTGCGCCTTCCCGTCATTTGTGTGACATTAGCCTCACCGGCGCATTGCTTGACTTGGAACACTTACTCTCTCACATTACGCCATGGCCAAGAAGGCGCGCCAAAGGATTAGCTATGGTGAGATGACATATCTTGAGACCGCTCCTGAACAAGCTGCTAATTGTAGTACCTTAGTCCTTGAAAATGCCAAATCCTCTGAAGGCGGCCATCGTCTAGGTGTCAATGGCCTTGCCGTCGATAACGATAATGCAATTCTGTAAGCTCGCCGAAAACATAAGAGACGAAATAATTTAGTCGCCTTATGCAAGCTTAGACTAGGAATTAGGCTGCTTTATTTCGGTAGCCTAAGCCTCAGAGGACAATTTGCTAACCCTCATTTCCTATAGATACTCGGGTGGCCGAGACGGCATTGTTTGCGCTTGGGACTTAAACCTCGATCTCAAGAGCCGTAGCGACATTACCGATTCGACGCCTGCCGCCTCCGAAGACAAGAAACCCAAGTCCACGACCAAATTCCGAGCACAAACCCATGCGCATATGCACTGGATCAACGATATTGCCCTTTCGCAGAACAATACAGCCCTGGTTTCTGGCTCATCCGACCTTACAGTAAAGGTCTGGCGACCATATTCCGAAGAGGATAACACCCGCGTCGAGACGATAGGCGAGCATGCTGATTATGTCAAATGTGTTACAACCCCGCCTCCAGATATGGGCGCAAATTGGGTCGCCTCTGGTGGTCTCGACCGCAAGATCTGCCTTTGGGATCTCAATGGCGCCGGCAAAACACTCGAGATCGACGTTCAAGGCGAGGAAATTGCCGAGAAGGGTTCTGTATATGCCCTACGTGTCGGGCGCAACATCATGGCGAGTGGTGGTCCAGAGAAGACGGTGCGCTTGTATGATCCTCGAACTGGCGACAAGGTCTCTAAACTTGTTGGCCACGTTGACAATATTCGCGCGATTCTGATTGACGATGCTGGAGACACTATTCTTAGTGCTAGTGCCGACAAGACGGTTAAGATGTGGAGTATCAAGAACGGTCGCTGCATGTACACGTTTACGATGCACGATGAGAGTGTCTGGTCACTGTTCTCCGATGACCCAACACTCGGTGTTTTCTACAGTTCAGATCGCTCCGGTCTGGTAGCTAAGACAGATGTGCGGGGCAGCCTAGAAGAAATGGACGATGGTCTAAGTCTTGCCGTGGCACATGAGCACATCGGAGTGGGCAAGGTTGTTGCAGCCGGAGGTCATATTTGGACAGCAACTAATAGGTCATCAATCAACCGATGGGAAGATGTTGATACCGATACCAACATCAAGCTCCCGGAATCAGTTCGACACCACAGAGCTACGTCAAACGCCTCCAACAGGCCACGCGAGGCTTCACCTCCAGCAGTGAATGGAACTGCTAAGAAAGAAATCCCCGCCGAGTCTATCTTACGCATCTCTGCGGCTGCTTCCTTCCCTGCGCGATCTGGGCCGGATCCTGATTCTACCACCATCACAGATGCTGCAACACGGAAAGGTTCAGAGGCTATCATCGATTCAGGAGAATCCGATATCAAGCCAATTCACGCGGTGGCCGAAGAAACAATCGAGGGACAATTTGGATTGCTCAAACACAGGCTGCTTAACGATAGGAGACGTGTATTGACGTCGGATACTGCCGGTGATGTGTTGCTGTGGGATTTGATCAAGGTGTGCAACTTTTGTCATGGGATGGAAAAGATGGCTAACCTCAGCAGTGCAAACCCATCAAAAGCTTCGGCAAGCAACACCTGGAAGACGTGGAACACCTTGTCAATACGGTTGAAGCTGTCGCCCCATGGTGTTCCATTGATCTCAGTTCTGGAAATCTTACTGTGGTGCTAGAACCTTTCAACTGTTTCGATGCTGAAGTGTATGCCGATGAGCTCGAGTTACCAGAGGCTGTAGAGTTCCGAGAAGATCAAAGGAGTGAGTATGACTAGCATCAATGACAAGATTCAACTAACCCCTACCTAGTCAGTCTTGGAAAATGGATCCTTCGATATCTCTTTGCCAATCTCATCGATGAAGAAATCAGAAGAGATGAGGCGCATCGTCAGAAGCTCAATGAGGGGATTGAAGCAAGGCAAGTTGCCTCTGGAGGAACCGTCGACGCCCCTCCATTGTCGATATCATTACCAAAGTCCGCCATCCCGGACTGGGATAACGCAGACCAAGTCACCCCAAAACCCAACCTCAATCCTTACCCCAATACGCCCGGGTTAGGCATTGGTTTAGCAACTCCTGGCCCCAGCATCATGTCAGGTCCTAACAGTTTGCCTGATGTGCCTGAAAATGCCGCAACGAGTCCAATGACTCCTGTTGAGAAGAGGACGTCGCATGTCAGTCGCCCTTCGACAGAAAGAGAGGACTACTTCAATAGCCCCATGCAACTTTTCGAGTCAGCAGTTAAGGCAGCGAGTATGGTATCCACGCCAACACAGGATAATGCAGATTCGAAAAAGTCGATAGACGGTGATAAAGAGAAGGACAAGGACAAGGACAAGGCCGACAATGCAAAATCGCCAAGCACACCATTTGGTAAGAAGAAGTTCCGCATGACTTTTGGTACGAAGAAGCTTTCACGCTCCGCTTCTCAAGCCACAACGGAGAAGCCTGCTATTGTGGAGGAGAAGACTGAAGAGTCTGAATCATCATCCGTCCATGAGAAAGAAAAGGAGGTCGACGACAGTTTCTTCGGTGTCATTCAGAAAATCCATCAGGAGTACGACAGACAACTGGCTGAGAATCCTGACAAACCAGTCGAGACCCGAGTGGTGCCCAGTCTGCCAAACGATACACCTGTTCTTAAACTTCCGCCTGGAACCAAAGTTGTCATCCAAGAGGAGACATCGGGAGGCAGCGCCAACTTATATCAAGGCACTGTCGAGGACGTTGGCAAGGATGCAGAACTTATCGAGCAGAAGGCACCCATGTGGCTTGGCGATGTTTTGCTTCAGAATATTATGCCTTTCAAAGAACCAGTCAAGGTCTCGTTCGTCTTATATCCAATGGATGACAGCCTTCCAGCCATTGCTTCGGCAGATGGAAACAACAGACTCAACGCGAATCGCATGTTGCGAGTCAGGAAAATTCTCTCCTACGTTGCCGAGAGGATCGAGCCACCACTTGAAGAACCTGATGAAGATCCCATGAGACCAGAAGAGTATCTGGAACTTTACTGCAACGACCAGGTAAGTGCATTCTCTTCACTCTTTACAGTTCTCTCTTTTCTTACTTTTATTTAGCTGCTCTCCCCTGTGACAACCCTGGCCACTCTACGTACTCACCTCTGGAAGGGAGGTAATGATATCGTGCTGCACTACAAAGCCAATGGCAAAAAGGAGATCCGGCCGTTCCCGCCTCCTCCAGAGACCAAGCCAGCTGAGGCTGAGGAAACTCTAGAAGGCACCGCTGCAGAAGAGACAAACACAGACGGCCAAGTTCCTTCTCAGCCTCAACCTTAAGGCCGCCTGACTGTAGGTGACCCCTCCATTGTTGTATGTTGTATGAGAGGACAATCAGTGTCCAGTACATTTCTATTTTTCATGCCTTCCTATTTATATTAGATGGCAGGCTTTCGTCTCCAGCGAGTCCCCTTATCGTATGTAGATTTATACATAGGTTAGATGCCCCCAACGCGCATATACCATTAGCGAGAAATTAAGCCTTTATCCCTGTTTGAGCTGCCCATCTCTTGACGCCTTGCTCCGTGCTTGATATCATACATGCCGACCAGTTTTTCTTTTCATCTGCGTGGAAAGGTTGTCTATACCACACCATTCATCGTGTTGATGGCCCATTGGTAACTTCCCAGGAAGATCGCGCCACCTATAGAAATCCATGTTACTCGCGGCGCTAGACCAGCGAAGAATGCCTTGCTGCCCTCCTCACGCATTATTTGACCGAATATTTTCGACACTGACACACGCTCTTTGGACAACATGACCCTTGTCTTGAGCACATCAAGTGGCGTAGTAAGTGCTGCAGAGAAACCACCAGCCATGCTTCCGTAAAGAGCGCTCTCAGCAGCAGTGACCTCACGCCCACCACGGCGGCGACGCCCCCATGACTTCATGGCCTCCCATAGCGGGAACTGGATCACGGTGAAGGGCACCTCACGAAAGACAGTAATACCCCAGCCACGGTAGAGCTCGCGCCACATGGGAACAAATCCATGGCTGGAGTATCGCGACAGAATAGCTCGCAGCGCTGCAGCCGAAGAACCTCCATGATGACCGGCCTGGGCACGCTGCTTAACAACCTCAGTTGGTACACGCACGGCACAAGCAGCTATCTCACCCGCACTGGCAGCAGCCATGTGCGTGACAGGAGCCTTCCATCCTGGCGCAGAAGTATAATCCTTATCGGCCAAAAGACCCTTTACACCCTCATATGTGCAGAAGAAAAACGCAGCGCCAGGAGCCGAACCAACGAGGGCAGAACCAATGCCACGATAAATGCCGCTAAAGCCACCTGAAGGAAAGAACCCGGTCGAGGATTGGAGGCGAGTCTTGAGGGTGTCGAGAGGGAACAGAGAGAGATCGACGGTGGTGCCAGCGAGGGCGCCTGCGAGAAGGGCAGATTGGAAGGATGGCGGGTTTGCGGACATTGTCTCGAAGGGTCGGTGACTTAATCTCCGTTCCAGATCGAGGTTCGAGCAATGAACTGGATAGTGCCCGGAGGAGGTAGAGGGATTGGTAACTTCGGAGCTTTGCGCCGACCGAGACCGGCGAAATGTTAATGGCTTGGAGGAGCTTGATAATATTGGACTTATCGATAAGATGAGCTTAGCTTGAGTTCTGAGGGGCATCCATCGCGAACTAAGCTACCCTGTATTCGAATTAATTACATCACCAGCACGCGCGTCATGAGAATCCTCGGTATTCATGTCCTGAGGAGAAAGGACAATGCCTGTAATTCAATTGAGTACTTTGGCAAATATTTCTGGCGTTGGTGATGCAGATAAGTACCTAGTGGGATAAAAGTATGATTGTATTTTGACGCATCGATGAATGTTCCTCTACCAACATCCATGCAAATATGATGGAATCATTAGACTGCCAAGAGATGAGCTGACCGATTTCAGTGCGTCAACAAACCACATCGAGGCATACCTGTGTTTACTTCACACGTTCAATTGACCCAGATTCACATTCGCATTGGCGCTCAAAGAGATGAAGACAAGATAATGTTGCCATTGAGCCAATCTCATTAAATAAAATATTTTGCTCAGACGTTCCAGTCTATCTTCCGGACCTTATAACTCCCAGAACAATCCATTGATCAAACCATCAGCCGCTCATCCATTCAATCAATCAACAATTTAAATTATTGGGGCCGCATTTACATGTTGTCCCGTGTGCTAGTGCCAGCCTTGTGAGTCTCCTCGGCCGCCTTCTTGGTTCGCTCTTGGAGGTTCTTGATGTCCTTGTTGGGATCAGTTTGCGATCGGTCAGCCTTGACAGCCTCCTCGCTGTCCGAGGCGAGCTCGGGCTTCCAGTGGCCGCTGCCCTCCTTCTGCTTCTTGAGGGAGTCCTGCTTGTGCTTTTCGTAGTCAACGTTGGTTTCTGCGTGTAATGTAAGCAAGGGCCTCTCGAACGATTCCGCATTGAGTCGAGGGAGAGAGACTTACGAGTTGAAGATTCCTTGAGGCCGAGGCGTGCTGATGTGGTGAAGGATCCTCGTCCCAAGATCATCTTGGTAGCCTGCGCAGAGCGCATGGTCATGATAGATCGAGCTGACATCATCTTTGCGGTAGTGGTTTTGGAGGTAATTGAAGTATTTAGTAGCTTGAAAGAATTGAGTAGATAGAAAGAAAGAGGAGAGGGAGAAACAGCTGTAGGGGGAGAGATCAGAGAAAGAGCTTAATACTGCTCCTCCCGGGTATGGTTATTGACCATTTGCAGGAGAGTGACGTCACGAGCATCATCAACTTTACGCCTTCTGTTTTTTCCTTTTCTCCTTGAAATGATGGAAGATTGGATGCGTCTATTCCCCACTACCTACTGCTCATGCTACCCCAATTGGGGCAATGGACCTTGTTGGCGAGACTTTTTGCCGAGGAAGCGATTGCCATGAATTATTGGACCTACATATGAACTGCATACTCCGTAGGTAGTACGGTGATCCAATTGCGTGGCTATGGTTGATAATACGCACGGGCTATTGCTATGAGGGGAAACTTAGTAGGTAATCTTGGTAGGTACTGTGGGGTTGAACCATCATCATCACGAAATATAGAATGCTTTACTACCCTTCATGCATAGCTGAAGTCAACAACAGAGCATTCATCTTCCAGTTTGGTTGATCGGGAACAGCCCGGCACTTGTTGATGTACAAATACTTTAAAACTGCTCTACGTGTCTGCCATTGGCCCAACAATTCGCGATTGCAGCTACCTACCTGTACACCATAACATCACGTCACATGCAAGGACATCAAATCCCTCATATACACTCACACATAACACATTCACTTAACACATGTCACAGAGTTGAAACCTCAGATTATTTGAACATTCGTATATTCTCGTCTCGCAGCGCTGAAGCCGCGTTGTCGCAACCAGACAGCGCCAATACCCAGTTAACAATAGCCACACAAATGCAGTCTACCGCTGCAGTGCAAAACCAGGCTCGAGGGCCTCCCGTAATCCCAAAAACCTCTTTGTATCTGATCATGACAAATGTCCCAGGACCCAACACTCCAGATGCTAGCCAAGGCGAGACAAAATATTTGTAAAAAGAAGCCCGTCCAACCAGGACAAGGGCAAATCAAGCAACGCTCCAAAGTATAAGCTACTCCGGTCCCAAAAACAATGTAGGCCAGCGCTGGTGCTGGAAGCCTAATCCATGAACAAGAAAACAAAAAGAGGACAAATGTATAGGCCATCCCAAGATGATACAAAGAAAAAGAAAGGGGCAAAGGTCGTCCTTTTGCGTTCCCATTCAATGCAACAGCGGGATAACACCAGAAATTCGACCAACTCCCCGTAATTTCCCAGATTCCGTCCCATTCAAGGGATACCAATACTCGCAAAACACCGTTCGTCTCGATCCTGACCACCGCCCAAAGATATTTCCAAGATGCGACCGATCAAATAACACCGGTAAAGACCCCGCTTGCGAAAAAGCACTCCCTTCTATGTTGTTCTTTTTCTCTTGTTGACTTCATAACCCATGACCGCGATGAGAGAAGACATTTTGGTAAGAATGGTAAGGCCAACCCGCGCCTCCCATATAAAAAAAAGAGATGAAAGCAATTGATGCCGTAAAATCCGATACTTGTGCCGTCCAACACCAATGCAATGTCGTCTTTAAAAAAGCAAAGAAACGCCCGTTCGTGTCTTGAAGCCTCATCTTGCGAGGCGGACACCCAACCCTAGGTATTTGATTTGTTGCAAAAATAACAAAGTAACCAAGCCGAAAATGGTATCGATCTTTATCATGCCGTGCCAATAGTATCCTCGTAAACTTGTTGATTAAAACAAGAGATGTCGATTAGGAATGTTTATACAGATGAGATAGGTTTGGATGGTAAGTGTGATGATTGTCGAAGATTGTTTAAATCAACAACAAGCAGTCGCGTCAAGCGAGAACTCCTCAAAAAAGCCTCCGAGGAAACCAGCCCAGTTAATGATAAGATGATACCAAGATCAAGTCTCGATCAGTCAATGTGTCCGCCAAGATGAACAGCTGCCAAGAACTAACAGGTGTGTTTGCAGTTCAAAGCACATCGCCAGTGATTCGACACACCAGTCAACCCATACATGATGTATGAGTGGCGACCAGGTGCGGTTTACCATCGACGCATAGACTGTTGCATCCTGCCAGGTGATACTGACTGAGGAGGGCTTGACATGGTAATGCCAGTAGCGGGGTTGATGATGGGAATGGCATTGCGGCCGCGGGTGGCGGAGGGCTGGTGAAGCTTCATGCTAGGCTGGTGCTGGTAAGAGGGAGGAATGAAAGCGGGAGATGTCGAATTGAGGGAGAAGCCAGGAGCAACAGTGTTGGGATGTTGCGTAGGAGAAGAGTCAGGAGAGTTGCTGGCTAGTGAGGAGCGCTCGGACGCGCTGGAGATGGAGACCAACTGCGAACAACAGGTCAGATTGATGCGCTGGGGTGAACAGCAACAGGACAACTCACGTCAGTCTCAGTCAACAGACCGGGGCAGAACTCCATGTCATCCTCAAGATCGAAAGACCGGCTGGTCTCGAACTTGGTTCGGAAAGATGAGATGGCAGCAACCTCGGGATCCTTCATGTTCATGTTACGGGGACCAGATCGGAACTGGCGCTGGACTTGTTGAGACATGGACAGACGAGGAGCTCTGCGATTTCGGCCGGCGTGGTGGTTGTGCGACATGGGAGCGGGGTGCGCTGGGTGAGCGTTGTAGGAGGTGTAGTATGCAGACATTATGCGAGTCGGGCGAAAGTCGCGTTGTTGTGATTTCCGGAATTGGTGCGGGATTAATCAGATGGGCGATAAAAACACAATCAAGAAACGAAGTGTTTGAAAGTCGTCGTTAATAGTCGTAATGGACAAATCCAAAAAGTCGCAGACAAGATAGGAGAGATGAGTTGAGTTGGGTTGTGTTGAAGAGGAGAGTAAGTTTGTTGGTTGATGTAGGTTTTTGGTTGACGAGAGATGAATTGTGGGAAATAGAGTGGGAGCGAAGCGAGACGAGGTAGGAGGGGCGGAGAGAAAGTGGAAGGTGACGGGCTGGCTTTGATAAGTAAAATAGAAATGGAAGGGGGCAGGCGGGATACCTACAGTTCAGTGACTGCACACCGGGGACGGCGGGCAATTGGATTTTGTTGGTTGGGGACACTGTGAGCCCACTAAGATCCACTGAGTCCACACTAAAGCCCACATGAAGCGCCTGCAGAGCCAGGAGATGAGGGTGGGACCAATCTCTGGCAAATCACAACCTGCGGACGGTGGCCAGGCTCTCTTTGCCACCTTGTTATGATTGGCATATTGCTAGAATAGCTTGTGCCACAGTGTAATCTTGGTGGCATGCTGGTAGTTTAATCCTGGTCGCTCAGGGTAGGGATGTTTAGGAACTGCACAGTCTGTCTTGCTTCACGCAAGCACAGTACCACCAGCGTGTTCAGAAAGCTAGACAACACACGCATTTGCTAGGGGGCTGAGTGCAAGCTACTTGTCCTATTCTGGGTTCACCTGCACACCAGGCGGTATCCGAAACTCAGCGCCTATCCTACAAGGGTGTGAGCTACTGCACTCACACTCACAAGCCCAGTGCTAGATTGAAGATTGAATGCTCAGTCGGCCCTCTCGGGGTTCCCCATTCCAACCTTCGTCACTTGACTGCTCTCCGCTTTGTCCCCTGCCCCGTCTATCTATTTGAGAACATCCCATCTCAGGGCTGTCTGTCTACTGTATTGCACTGTACAGACCGTGCTAGTCTGTCGGGCCAGGGGTGCGCATTGTTCATCAGGTGAGTGACGGAATTTGAGCTACGGACACTACCCATACAATACCCAAACACACAGTGAGGATCCTCCACTTGGAGTCGCAGTCTCAGTCTCAGACTCAGGCACCATCTTGACCGCGTGCTCTTCCACTGCAATTCCCCTGTGCTAGCGCA